TCTGCACCGAGAGCACCCAGCTGCCATTTAGTCCCAGCAGCTCCCGGCTCCTCCCCACTGCGCCTGCCGGACACACCCTGCCCCAGCCCAGGTCTGCCTCTGAGATGGAGCTGGCACCCCATTAACGGATGCGTTAGGGATCCCGTAATCCAGCCGTGCCAGTCCCTCAGCCTCAGCCTGGGGCTCTGCCGTGACTGCAGTGTGGTCACTTCCAGGCGAGTGTCCCCCCTTTTCGGCCACTCCGTGGGGTAAGAGGAGCCTCAGCTGATGACAACCAAGTGCTGACGAGGAAAGGCCCAGCCCTGTCCTAACTCAGGGGTCCCAGGACTTGCCTGCAGCCCGGGCCGTCACTCACCCCATCTAATGGCTCTAACTCAATGGTACATACCTTTACAGGGATGATGGCACGTGTACCAGAAAAAGGCTATACCCATGCCAACTACGAGACAGATGGCCCCGAGGAAGGATAGCCGGGATCTGGATCTGTGCTCTGAAATCAGGAAATGCCTCAGTAAGGTCAAAACCGGCTGCACGATAAAGCAGCAACATGATAAAGAATAACGAACAGACCCAGCAACTCCACGTCAGAGAATATGTCCAAGGAAACACAAACACTGTATAAAGGAGACGTGTGCTCCCCGTGTTCACAGCAGCCAGGGTGGCGTGGAAGCCACCACGTGTCCCCAATGGAAGAATGGACACACAGGCTGTGATGTCCACACGTGCACACACACACGAGCACACACACACACGGACACACACGAGCACACACACACACGTGCGCACACACACACACACGTGCATGCACACACACGTGCACACACACACATGCACACTGGAACACTACTCAGCCACAAAAAGCAGGAAATCCTGCCATTTGCGACAACGTGGATGGACCCTGAAGGCTTTCTGCGGAGTGAGGCACACCAGACAGAGAAAGACAAGGACCATATGACATCATCTACGTGTGGAATCTAAAACCACAGCAAACTCAGAGAAAAAGAGATCAGATTGGTGGTTCTCAGAGGCGGGGTGGGGGTGGGATTGGAGGAAGGGGCCAAAAGGCACAAAGCTGAGTTATAAGATGACAAGCCTGGGCTGTGACGTACAGCATGGCGACTACAGCTAACGCTGCTGCACGGCGTGTCGAAAGCTGTTCAGATGGTAGATCCCAAGAGCTATCGTCACAGGAGAAAAACGCCATTCTGCTCTGTCCTATTGTTTCTGCATCGGCTGACAGACGATAACTAAACCTTGTGATCGTGTCACAGTATATGTAAGTCAGGTCACTATGCCCTACACCTCAAGCTGCTACACTGAGGATGTCAATTACATCTCAGTAAAACAGGGAAAAAAGAACAAGCATCTCCGCTCGCTGGCCCAGCAGACACGGCCAACCAACCTGGGTAGGAGGCCCAGTGAGCCAGCCTCTGCCAGCCGGGCCGCAGCACGTGGTGGGGGTGGGGAGGGGAGGCTGCCCCAGGTGGCCACACCTGAGAGCAGGTAGGACTGATGTCCCTCCCCTTGGGTGGGGTGCAGGTGGCAGGTCTCAGATGGGCCAGAAGGGTTCAGTCGGTCACGTGGGTGTTTAAGGCAGTGATGCTGTGATGCCCACTCTGGAGGGATGTCCTGTGTCAGGCTGTGTCTCAGGTACAGTCTTCTTACAGGCGGACATGTGTACACCTCTGCCGGCCAGGGTGGGCAGAGCCAGGTGGGTCTCTGGTGGCCAACGAGGCCTGGTTTGCCCTGTATCAGCGTTGAAAGTCCCCGTGTGGGATGTTAAGAAAAATGAGGTCTGACAATTTAACTTCGCAAATTTGTTGCAGTTTTCTTGCTAACCTTTTTTTGATCAGAGGGATTACTCATTATGAATTTGTACCAACTGGACAAACAGTTCACCAAGTTTACTATTTGGAAGTGCTGAAAAGGCTGCGTGAAAAAGTTAGACGGCCTGAACTTTTCGCCAACAATTCACGGCTCTTACATCACGACAATGCACCAGCTCACACGGCTCTGTCTGTGAGGGAGTTTTTAGCCAGAGGGACTTATTAAACAAGTAACTGTATTGGGACACCCTCCCTACTCACCTTATATGGCCCCCAGTGACTTTTCTTTACCTGAAATAATGTTGAAAGGAGGACGTTTTGATGACGTTCAGGACATCAAGAGTAATACAACGACAGCTCTGATGGCCGTTCCAGAAAAAGAGTTCCAAAATTGCCTTGAAGGGTGGACTAGGTGCTGGCATGGGTGCATAGCTTCCGAAGGGGAGCACTTGGAAGGTGACTGTAGTGATATTCAGCAGTGAGGTATGGAGCACTTTTTCTAGGATGAGTTTGCGAACTTCATGGTCCCACCTCGTGTATGTATATAGGTGTCTGCTCCAGGCTCCTGACACAGAGGTCACAAGTCCCTTGGAGTTTCCTGGGTGACAGGAGTGGCTTCTGTTCTGATGAGCCCACTCTGGTGGCTCCTGGCTGGGGGCTGATGCCCGGAAACGCCAGGACATGATGAGAAGCTTGGAACTCTCAGCCCCACCCCCATCCTCCAGGGAGGGGAGACAAATTGGAAGTGGAGAAATACCTGAACAAGCCAACGTGATGAGGCCGCCATAAACCCTCAAAAGGATGGAGTTTGGAGAGTTCCGGGTTGGTGAACGCATCCATGGGCCAGGAGGGTGGCACCCCAACTCCACAGAAACACACGGGCCTGGGCTCGGGACCCTCTCAGGCCTCGCCTCAGGTACCTGTCATCTGGCTGTTCATCTGTGTCCTGTATATTATCTTTCCTGATAAACCGGTGAATGTGAGTGAGTGTTTCCCTGAGTTCTGTAAGCTTTTTAGTAAATAACTGGATACAAGGAGTGGGTGGCTGGAACCTCCAATTTGTAGCCAAGTCAGACAGAAGTTGTGTAAACTGGGGACCCTTGACTTTCAGCTGGCGTCCCAAGTGGGGGACAGTCCTGTAGATTGAGCCCTAACATGCGGGGTCTGTCCTGACTCTGGGAAGTGTCAGAATTGAATTGGACGGCAGGACACGCCGCTGGTGCCTGAGAATTGGTGGGTGTGGGGAAACCCCACACGACTGTGGTAGAAGTGTGTGGTCATCGGGTGAGAGCGAAGGCAAAGCGGGGAGTTTTCCCGAGGCTTCTGGGGAACCTGGCAAATGGGCCCAGTGTGTCCCTGGAGAACCCCAGACCTACGACCAGGAGCCCAAGGGGGTCACGTGGCCTTGGTGCTGCCATAATACGGGATGTGTATATGTCACAAATCTGACATCCTATTTAAGCGCAGAGCTCAGTGGCATCAGGTACACTGACTGTTGTACAGCGGTCACCGCCATCCATCTCCAGATCTGTCTCCATTTTGCAAAACTGAAACTCTGTCCCCATTAGACACTAACGCCGCCTCTCCTGAGCCCCAGTCAGCTGCCACCTACTCTCTGCCTTTATGACTGTGACTCCTCTAGGGACCTCCTAAGTGAATAACAGATCATCTGTCCTTTGTGACTGGTCACTTCACTCAGCGTAATGTCTTCCAGGTCCATCCATGTTGTAGCCAGTGTCAGAATTTCCTTCCTTCCCCCCCCCCACATATAAAAATAATTATGAAATAACAGGGAGCCTCTTACCCGGGTCAGGCACGCCGCACACTGTGTCAGCCGTAGAGTTGCATTTATGTAGGACGACATGCCCTTGGGGACACCTGGGGGGACAGAAAGGCCCTCTGTGTTCCTGTTCCACATCCTCCTCCTGGGCCCCAGGCAGCTGGGTCCACATTGTCACCAACAGAAGGTAGGCTCTGGGCTGGCATGCAGTGGGGTGCTTCCCCCAAACCCACACTGGGGAGCAGGGTGTGCCGTGAACATCCATGTCCTGCACCCCTTCCCAGGGGTCACATCAGGGCACACTCCAGCAAAACAAAGGAGCGGAGTCCCGGAGGGCGGAAAGGGCCACTCACACTGGCCGCTGGGAGCTGACCTGGGGAGTGGTGAGTCCAGCTGGGGACCCAGGACACAAGTTCCGCAATGGATGACAGACAGAGAGGGTGATGGACAGCTCGGAAAAAGTGAGGCTTGAAAAAGTCAAGTGATGCATTAAAACAGAGAGGCAATCAGAAAACTCTAGAAAGAAGGAAAACAAACATGTGAAGCAGAATTTGTCCAAATAGAGAATAACCTGAACGTTAACATGATTCTATGGAGATAAGAAAAGAGAACCACGTGGTTGGAGTGGGAACGGTCTTGGACTAGTGTCAGGCTGTAGTGACCCGGTGGACATTCTCACGTCCCACTGCTGTCAGCCCCTAAAGAATAAGCCCACACAAGCCCAGGTGCACAGCCACCCGTGACGCCGCCCACATCACCTGGTCTGAGTGTCACCTACCTGCTGCACCATCTGCAGAATTCATGCAGTTCCGGGAGCTGGTAGAATTGGCCTGTTTTACACCGGTATATCTGGTCACTGGTCGAATTACACTCCCCCAACACTTCTTGGTCTGTAGGTCAGAAAGACTGGGTCAGCCCAAGGGACGCGCCCTCTCCTGTGTGGGCCCCTGGACCTATATGGTCATTTGGAACGGAAGTGGTGTGGCCCGGGTCCGGACCTTAGCGGAGGCACTGGGATAGTCCCGAGTCTGGCGAGCGCTGCAGACCCTGCTGTGGACGTCCTCACCACATCGTCCCACACCTGTCTCCCAGGTAAACACCTGAGCCGGGTGCTGGCGCCCTGGGTCACAGTAAATGTGCGTATGGACTGGACGTCAGGGAATTACTGTTCCTTCTCCTGGATGTGGCCACAGCACTTGGTTCTGTGAGGGAATGTGTCTGTTCAAGAAGTGGGTGCTGTGCTGTTTCATGGTGAAATATTCTGACCCTGCTGCTGATTTTAAATGGTTCACAAACACGGCCCCTCACACACGTGATAGGACACTAGCCATTTTTTAATCATCGGTGGAAAATCCATTTGTGATGCCTGTTTTATTCTTTCAAATTTTATACACTTCTAAATGTTTTCATAATAAAAATTCCTTATTTCCCTGAGGGGTGATGTGTATCTTATTTCTTTTGGTGTGTTTTCAAGTTTTCTAGATTTAGCTTACTAATTTCCAATTATAACAAAATTATTAAAATGGGGAAACACTGCTTAGGAGCTTGAATTGGAGTGTCACGATGGATTTGCCCCTCTTTCTCACACTCACAATACTTGGGGGACTATTTTCACACCTACAGAAGTTCCTCAGCCACTTGTTTACAGCGACGGTCAGCCCTGTGAATGTCACCGCCCCGTCCGTTCTTTACCCAAAGTGGGTTCATGGGCTCCGGGCCTTCCCTTAAATTTTCATGGCTAAACAGTGAGCATTCTTGCAGCTAAATACTTAGACACAACGTTAACGACTTCTATAGGTCACGTTCCTAGGCTGGCCCTGCCGGGTCAAGGGCTTTAAGGTCAAGGAAGGTGCCTGTGCAGCGGACTCACCTTGGGAACAGGTGGCACACGGGAAACAGGAATCCAGGCCGTTGGGGAACGCTGTGAACATCCCTCTGTCACACTTCACGCACTTGCCTTGGGTGTGCGGGCTCCAGCACGGTTCATGGACATACTCGCCTGTAAGAAGTCGGGCGCCGTGGTGAGGTCCCGCCCCCGAGAACACCCTGGAGGCTGCCTCACCAGTGAGCACATAGAAATACTTAGGTCTTGGGGTTTGGGATTCAAATAATCTCGATTTGTACAGCTTCTTGCACATGAAGAAGCGCAGACGGGCTTGGCTCTTGCCTCCAAGGGCTCTGGCTGCCTGCCCTGCAGTTGATCCTCCGACAGAGGTCCTGAACCCTCCTCGCCCGTCAGGTACTGAGGCCGGCCAAGGACGCGCCTCTTGTCCAGGTCAGTGGAAGGCCCGACAACATCCCAGCTCTGTGCCGCCCCAGCCAGGACTCATCACCACCCGCCCCAGTCGGAAACCAGAACGGGTGACCTCAGGCCCCCGGACGAGCACTGCCCAGGTCCCCTCTGCAGGCACCTGAGGTCTGACACGGGTTCCGGTCACCACCCGATAAGCACTTCCCTCAGCCAGAGTGGGTTTCCTTGGTCACCCTCACTAAGGGTCGGCGAGTGTTTCCTTCTAGAAGGATTTCCCTGGAGCCATCTCCCACCTCATCAGCTCTCTGCCAGTCTCCATGGTGCCATGTTAGTTACTGGGATTTAGGGGGCTCTGGAATGTGCTTTCACGGTATGAGATGTGCATTATTCTCCTGTGCAGACGGAAGGAATGAACAAGTCCCGCAGCCCAGGGTTGGATCCCGTCCCGTCCCCAGGGTGGGACTCACCGGCGGGGCAGCACTTGCAGCAGTGCCTGCCGGTCCAGTACTCGCCAGTCACGCACTGAGTCGTCAGGCTGTGGGGTCCCTGGCCCTGCTTGGAAATCAAGTCGGTTGAGTTGGTCACCGTCAGCTGGAAAAGGACAACAAACGTTTTACTAACAGCTCACCCGTATGGTCCCGTGATGTGGTGGGGTCTGCTCTCAGCTGTGCAAAATCCCAGTGTCAACCCCAAGAGGCAGTAGCCACTGACACCCCGATTTCACAAGAGCTCAGGTGACCTGCCCAAGGTCTCCATCCCAGACCATCTCTCCGGAGACCCAGGGCTCTTCGTCATGCTCGCCTCAGCCTGCAGGGAACACAACCCCATCCTGTAGGGCCCCGAACGCCACCCTCAGCCTGTGCCTGCTGGCCGGGGCTTGGGGAGGCCATAAGCAAACTGGTCCAGATGTGGGATAGAAAAGGCGTCATTTTACATTCCATCTCCTCAGGTTGAATGTATCATAAGTAAGAGAATTTGGTAACAAAATCAATACAAGAAAATACATGTCTGGGTTGGCCAAGCACAGAAAGTGGGACAGTAGCCGCCCCAGTCAGCTGGGAGCACAAAGGGGCAGGGGTCTCCCGGAGGGGGAGGGGTGGGCCGGACACGCCTGTGAGAAAATGCACCCGCCCTGGGCTCCAGGTTTTTCTTTATTAACGAAACTCTTCCAGGGCCGGCCGAGTGGCTTAGTTGGTTAAGAGCTCGCTCCAGTTTGAGCTCTGAGCAACAGCAGTTTGAGTCCCAGCCAAAGCTGAGCAGCCGCTGAGCTGCCAACAGGTAGCAGGATGGCTCAGCTAAAAACAAAGAAAAAAACCCAAAAAAACTCTTACAACGCTGGCCCGGCCGTCTCACTGGCATACGTCTCTGCCTCGTGTTCTGGCCGCTTTGACATAAAGGCTCTCAGGCTTGTGCTGCAAGCTCAGCCCTTGTCCATGGAGCTTGAGCAGCTGCTCCGAGACCCTGGCTGACCTCGACGCCTGTCACAGAGACTGGGCGCTCAGCTCTGGGACGATGTAGCCCAGGACTTCTGTGAGGGGCATCCCTCGCGGAGTGCCGTGTCCGGCAGTGGAAAGCACAGCGTCTCCTAAAATCTCTCCTCAGTGGGCCGGCCAAGTGGCACGTTAGTTAAGAGCTGGCTTGGGACACCAGGGGCCTCGGTTCAGATCCCACATATGAGGGCCAGTGACACTGCCCTCTACAACTAAGATGCTGAACAACAGCTCAACCTGGAGCTGAGCTGCTGTGGGTCGCCGGTGCTGGCGTAGGCTGCCCCTGCTGCAGTGGGTTGCCATGGGCACCCGTGTGTGGCCGGCAGCCAGTGTGAGCGGCCGTCCAGAGACCGGCAGCTGATGTGCCTCGCCTGGGAAGAGCGCAGTGTTGGTGCCAACTTGGGCAGTGAGGCAATGTCCTCCACAACTAGACTGAAGAACAAAGCGACAGCAACTTGTCTGTTCCCCTTCCCCCAATTCCCCAGCACTGTTCCCATCCCAATTCCCCAATAAAAAAAAAATCTTAAAAAAAAAAGTGCAGTTTAATGTGTGTCCATTATACCTCAATAAATCTGCTAAAATATACCCTCAATTAAAAAAATAATTAAAATGTACTCAGAGGGCTGGCTGAGTGGCGCGATGGTTAAGAGCTGGCTTGGGACTCCAGAGGGCCCTGGTTCGGATCCCACATATGAGGGCCAGTGACACTGCCCTCCACAGCTAAGATGCTGAACAACAGCTCAACCTGGGGCTGGGCTGCTGTGGGTCACCAGCGACAGCGTAGGCTACAGTCCCCTGCTGCAGTGGGTTGACATGGACTACCGTGTGTAGCCAGCAGCCAGTGTGAGTGGCCAGCAGCCGCAGTGAGCGGCCGTCCATGAGCGGCCGTCCAGAAGCCAGCGACTGATCTGCCTCGCCCGGTAAGAGCGCAATGATGGTACCAACTTGGGCCAGTGAAGCAACGTCCTCTACAACTAGACTGAAGAACAAAAGGACAGCAACTTGTCTGTTCCCATCCCCCCATTAAAAGAAAAAAAAAAACTTAAAAAAAAAATTGACTCGGAGCGGCCTGCACCACTGGCTGCACCACGCCCAAGTTGAGCAGAAGGAGGGCTCTGGCCAGGCCTCCTCGCCCGCTGCCCACTCTGCCAGCCCCGGGCGCTCACCACCGAGCCTGACCCAAGTGGCCCCGGTCAAGGGTGGCTGCGGGGACCCACCATGGGCGGTGCCAAGCTCGGGGCACCGCCATGGGCGGTGGAGGGGCGGGGATGATTCCCCGCCGAGACCCGCCACCGGATGCGCTCCCCGGACTCGGCCGCCTCCCCGGCTCTCGGGATCCTCCCTGCCCGGAGCCCCCACGCCGCAGCCCCCGAGACCCGCCGCTCACCCACCTGAGCCCAAAGCAGCAGCGGCAGCGCGAGAGCCGCTCGCAGGACCATGGTCGCCGGATGAATGAAGCGCAACACCCACCGGAAGAATTTCACGGGAGGACTTCCAAAACTACACGCGAAAGCGTGCAGCGCCAGGAAGCCGGCCATGACGTCAGAGATGGGCAGGCACCCCATCCAATCCCAGAGCAGCTCACCCTTGGTCTTCCGCCTTTCCTTCGACAGAGCAGTGCTAGAAAACCAATCGGAACCGCCCCGGTTTATGTATTTATGATGTTTAGCTGAGCCGTGCTGCCACCAGCTGGCAGCTCAGACGGGGCCGGAAAGCAACCCAGCGGCCCTGTTGCTCAGAGCTCGCACTCTTGAGGGAGCCCTTAACCCACTGAGCCACTCGGCCGGCCCCCAACTCCCTGGTTTATAAAGACCCCACTTGGCCCGAAGTCGCCAAGGGCTCATTGATTGGCCCCGCCCACCCCGGTCCTCCGGTGCCAACACCCTCGGGGGCCCGCTTCTCCGATGCGACTGGACTTGGAGCTGAACTGTGCCCTCCACAACTAAGATTGAAGGACAACAACTTGACTTGGAGCTGAGGGGTAATGGAAAAACACAATGTCTCCCTTCCCCAATTCACCAACACTGTTCCCTTCTCCAATTCTCCAATAAAACCTTTCAAAAAGTCACAAAAGTATATACCAACAAATAACAAGTGGAAATTAAAATTAAAAGCAATACCATTTAGGGCCGACTGAGTGGCGCAATGGTTAAGAACTGGCTTGGGACGCCAGAGGGCCCCGGTTTGGATCCCACATATGAGGGCCAGTGACACTGCCCTCT